TGATCTTCTTTGCCTGTTGTTTTGATCATGTAACATGCCTTTTCAAATCCCTCCACTGGCTTCCCATCTGATATAACATAAATTTTAAGATCCTTCACACCTTCAAAGTTGTACATAACTCTGCCTTTCCCTGCTTATCCTTCCTTGTCAAGCTTTGTTTCGTCTCACCCCCACACCCTTTTTGTTCTGCTATTGCTCCCAACTTCATCCACTTGGTTTGTGAGTGTCTCTTGCAATCTCCTTCCATGCATTCCCTGACGCATAGTATAATTTCCCTGCCTTCGTCTTCAGGGCTGTCCCTAGGGGGGTGCGGGGCCCTGAACAAATCAGCCCCACTCAGTGGCGCATGGGACCAGGAGCCCAGGAGTGCTGCAGCACCCCCCTGCACTCCTAGTTCCTGCACCTATGTCTTCTGGGACCGACTGTGGCGGCCAATCGCACCAGCCCACAGGGCCCCCCAAACCGCGGGGCCCGGAACGGTCTCCCTGATTCGCCCTATCCAAGGGACAGCTCTGTTCATCTGCACCCTGCCCATATTCCCTCTTAAAAACTCCTGCTGAGCTACTTATAGCAAATCAACCTGACATGGATATAACATGTACATTGTTGTTCCCCTTCCCTCATCTCTGCCTGTTTACGTTGTCAGTACCTCAGAACAGGGACTGTGCTTAATCAGAGCTAATGAAAAATCTCAGTGCAATAGCAGCACCAGAAAAATATGAACCATTAAGTGTGGAAGACTGACTGACAAGCACTTTCAACCCAGGTTGTGCTGCTCAGGGGAAAAGGAAGAGAGGAGAAATCATGCAAGAAAAATAGACCTGGTCCAGCAGGAAAAACTCGCTAAAAAATCCACTTGCATCAGCCCCAGCCCCTCCTGGGAGAAAAGGGATGCAAAAAAGATGCATTGCCTAACTTTAAGCACTGAAATAGGCTTCCAAGGAAGACTGTGGAATCCCCAGGATTGAGCTTTAAGAACAGAAAGAAAAGGAGTACTTGTGGCACCTTAGAGACTAACCAATTTATTTGAGCATAAGCTTTCGTGAGCTACAGCTCACTTCATCTATAGCTCACGAAAGCTTATGCTCAAATAAATTGGTTAGTCTCCAAGATGCCACAAGTACTCCTTTTCTTTTTGCGAATACAGACTAACACGGCTGTTACTCTGAAACCTTTAAGAACAGGTTAGACCAAACGCCTGTCAGGTATAGTTTAGGTTTACTTGTTTCTGCCTCAGCAAAGGGGCCTGGATGCATGATGACCTCTTGAGATCCCTTCCAGCCCCATATTTCTATGATACTATCCTGTCTTACTGCCTTATCATCACAAACCAGGCCCATTAAGGCCAATGAGCAGTGATCCCAACCGGAAAGGCCCGAAGACACTTCCTGGCAGAAGCAGCATTCTGTCTCTGCAAACAGAGCCTGCAACTATCAGTGACAAAGCAGAACAGGCCACAGGCCAGAAACATCCAGCCTTTCCCATGAGGAATATATGCTCAGCCAAAGTTAGTCAAATAAAAGAAGCTGGGGAACCAAGCAGTGACAGTATGGGATGCGGCTCTTAATCAAATTAACAGGTCAGCGGGCATAGCGATGCTTGTCTCTTGCTTACAATCAACCATTTTGCCCAACACACTTTGCCTGAGGGTGTATGCTTACTGGGGAAGCCTGGATATCTGGTTTTGCACTAAAGATTGGAAGTTCCTTTTGAAGCATTGTGCAGACGACCTGAACTGATATAGGGTAGGTGCTTGATGGAATGATAGAGAGGCACTCTTTAGTCCACAGTAGCTGGGCAGGAATATAGCATCTTTTTGCTTAACTTCCCACTGTGGAAGCCCCTCCCCCAACATTTTCTTTGCTGTGAGACTGGCACAGGACATTTGGTTGCAGCCACTTAGCTTTTCTTCCTGGACTAAGTTATATTTCTTGCACTTACTTTTCCACCTCAGGTACAGCCCCTGGGCAACACTGCAGGCGTTTGTTTACAGTCAGTCTTTTACCTTTCAATTGTTTTGTAGCTTACTGATGCTGCTATTTTGGTCATTTTTTCTGTTTAGAGGAACACAAAGGGACATAACCTTTTTTGTACAGGAGCACTGATCCACTACATGGAGTTTTCTGAGAAGAAACACCAAATACAGTGGGCTGTGATGTTGCTCTTTTTAATGTAGACCAATGACCTGGTACAAATGTCTAAAAAAAATTAACTTTCACTCAAAGCTCTCCTGCATGGACTTCAGATAATTTGCTGTTGTCTTTACATATGCCAGAGGGGAGTGGGATTGAAAATCATTCAGGAGACTAAATGAAGTACTTCACTGAGTGACAGCAATTGCTTTAAATGTTATTTTAAACATCGTTTTATATTGCTGCTAGATTGCATGTGACTTCTGGAAAATTTAACTGGATGAAAGAGAATTGTTTGTTAAAGAACCAGAGGGGTCAACTGCCTTAATATGGAGCAAGACAAGAGACATGCAATCCATCTGTCCTAGAACTTAACTACAATTTTTGTAAAACATGCTTAGAAAAAGACAGGGCTTCCTGAAGTGTCCTTTGATATTTGCAAAAAGGCAGGCTGAGGAGGACAAGCAAATGACCAGAGAAGAAAAGAAAGGAAGTAGTAAAGAGCAGGGAGCGGGTAAGAGACAAGGCTATAACAATCACTAACAGTCAACAGAAACTACCAAACAGCTTGTTCGAGAGGAGAAGAGGAAGGAAACGCTTTTGTTAACATTGTAAAAACAAAGATAACCTAGAAGGATTTACAATCACTCAGAAGATTTTTTTTTTTAAGATGATTGTTCAGTTTTAATCAAGACTAAAAGCTGTTACACCATCTCAACTGAATTCAAATACAATCCACATACATGCTTTTGTACTGTAGCATGTTCTGATAGGTGCCCACTTCCTCAGGTTCAATATTTAATTTAAACTTCCAATCTAATAGTGCAATGAGTCATTTCCTAAAGGAAATTGCTGTTCTAATCATTCACTGGATAAGATGTATTCAAAATGCTTCACTCAGAAAGCACAAAACTAAGTGTCCTAGCCAATATTAATTCATCACGAGAACAGTTTTATCACACTTATTGGAGAAGTGCAGAATTTACCTTGGGATTGGCCAAGAGAAAAAAGATCCCATTCAGTTTTTCTCTGCAAACAGGCCACTACTCTAAGTTATGGGGAAAAATAATATTTAGAGTAATCAAACTGATTAACAGCAAAGAGTCCTGTGGCACCTTATAGACTAACAGACGTATTGGTATAAGGTGCCACAGGACTCTTTGCCGCTTTTACAGATCCAGACTAACACGGCTACTCCTCTGACAAATTGATTTACTGTGTGTTAGTCCAGAGGACCACCACCAAAGCCTACTGCCCACATTAATTCCTGATCCAAATGCAGTGCAAGGTGCCAAAGACAATCCTGTTTCTACCTTCTGCTGATTTTGTCTCCTTACCTCAAATCTCCCCCCAACCTCCACCAGAAAGAAAAAATATTTAATTCCTCCTCTCTATTTGTCTCTCTTCTTCCCCTCAATCATATCCACCTTTGTCTGTCTCTCTGTTCCTCTTCTTTCTCTGTCTCCTTTTTTATTTCTCTTTTAGGGTCAGGCCAGCAACTGCAGTAGAAATTTTTTTAAAACGCTATATTCTTAGAGAAAAGAGTCTTCTCTGGAGGGCTGGCTGCAGAATGCAATGGAATGGATTAAGACTGGGTGACAGTCAGTGCGTTTAAGACTGCAGATAGCACTGTTGATAAATTTCAGAGGAACAGCCGTGTTAGTCTGTATTCGCAAAAAGAAAAGGAGTTCTTGTGGCACCTTAGAGACTAACCAATTTATTTGAGCATGAGCTTTCGTGAGCTACAGCTCATTTCATCAGATGCATACCGTGGAAACTGCAGCAGACTTTATATACACACAGAGAATATGAAACAATACCTCCTCCCACCCCACTGTCCTGCTGGTAATAGCTTATCTAAAGTGATCAACAGGTGGGCCATTTCCAGCACAAATCCAGGTTTTCTCACCCTCCACCCCCCCACACAAATTCACTCTCCTGCTGGTGCTAGCCCATCCAAAGTGACAACTCTTTACATATTCTCTGTGTGTATATAAAGTCTGCTGCAGTTTCCACGGTATACATCTGATGAAGTGAGCTGTAGCTCACGAAAGCTCATGCTCAAATAAATTGGTTAGTCTCTAAGGTGCCACAAGAACTCCTTTTCTTTTTACTGTTGATAAAGTTTGTCCAAGAAAGTTCAGCACTATTCCATTTCTGCTCCTATCACCAAAAATGCTGTGGGTGGAGTCAGTTGAACAAATTCTAAACCCCGATTAACCACAGGTGAGCAGAATACCCATTTGTTCACCACCAATGTCATGTGATATCAGATAACTACTTAATTTGACCCCTTTGGATATGTCTACCCTGCAATAAAGGACATGTGGCAAAGCCTCAGCAGGGCCAGGTCAGCTGACTTGGGCTCATGGAGCTCAGGGTGCAGGGCTATAAAATTGCAATGTAGATGTTCAGGGCTGGGCTCCAGCCCGAGCCGCAATGTCTGCACTGCAACTTTACAGTCCTGCAACCTGAGCCCTGCAAATCTGCGTCAGCTGTCCCAGGGTCTGAGACTCAGTGCCAGGGGGTTTTTAATCGCAGTATAGACATATCCTAGTTATCTTTGTGTAGCTCTTGCTACAAGAGTGTATGTATTTTAAACTAGAACATTATATTAGGAAATCCTGTTTCCTAGCACCAAGGAGTTATTATAAGCGCTAAGTACCAGAGCTTAACACTTAAGCAAAAGAGCGTGATGTGAATAGTAGCTGTGTTAAAATACCAAGCATCAGATTACAAATAAAATTCTGGTTGGAATGTAGTAAATGGTTGTAACTGCTAACTGAACCTTTTAAGAGCAATCCATTTTATCAGCACATTCATATGCTTTTTAATCAAATAAATGGATTTCAGTGGCCTCTTCCTTACCAGCAGTGGCTGAGAGTAAAGTTCAAGCTGTGCTCTGTAAATTATGTCATCCAATACCTCCTGGCCAAGACCCCACTGTCCATTATATCTACAAAACAAAACAAACAAGACATTTATCATTCAGTACTTTTTGAACCCAAACCCTTCTCCTTTGTATCTACAAAGGATATATGCTAACACAGCATAAAGGAATAGATGGAGCGCTTAAGTTATTCTAATTGATATTACAACTAATTGTTCCCTCCCATCTCCCAGACAGAAGGATATTATCATGGTAAGAGTCACAGTAAAGAGGGGTGGAGGGGCAACATTTGAAAGTTACATTACTTGGTATAATTGTTTCGGATTCGTGTGTTTAGGCTAACCCAGTGGCTCCATGTCACACTGCCATTCCAGGGGACCCAGGTTTATCAGCTACCTTGAAGCTTGCAAACATTACACTGGTGAAGAGAAGGGATACTGTGGAAGTGACATCCCTTGGAGAGACGAGGAAACAAGGAGCACCACACTTCAGCACCCAGTGCTGGTGACTGAATGCTGATAAAGGCATTCCCAAAATGTCAGCTGGCCAAGATAGCAAGTCAAAGGAAAATAAGGAGATAAAGCAGTTGATCCTCAAATGAAGTGGTGGCTTAATTCTTGTTTTCATGCATAAAGACAGAGAGAAAATAGGGTATTTTAATTCACTAGAAGCCATCCAGCTCCTCCTCTTCCGAACTCTACCTACTTACATGGCATAATAGACACCTGTGAGCAGCTGCACCATGAAGTCAGGATCTAGTACCACTCTGTTACAGAATTCTTTCCAGCGTTTCTCATGCTGTCGTGGAAATCCACTCACGCAAAGCCTGGCAAAAACACAGAATCAAAATTTTGATCTCATGAACACTTTAAGGAAACATGCTTTACATCCATCAAATGCGAGACACTCAGGTGATAAGCTCTGATTATTCTTCCAAACATTAACTGTTCTGTTTCTTGCTGCAAAGTCACATGTCAGCTCTTGATGCTTTTAAGCAAGTATCTTCATGGCAGAGCCTAGAAACATTGGCCACAATTCCAGTAGTCTATCTTCATATACCCTTATTCACATTAGCTTGGGTGAAATCACCAACCAGGTAGTTATGAGTGTGGGAGACAGAACTTTCTCAGAAGCTAGCCAGAAGATGTGAGAACAACAGTGAATGTGCCTCAGATAGAATGTTTAGTTTAAGGCTACAGAATGGAGAGCTTATCTCCTCTGTAACATACCGTAACAGAATATTAATAGGTGAGTGTTTCATTTCAAAAAATAAATTGGGGCAAACAAAGTTGCTTTCTTTATGAAAAGAACTATTCTTTCAAATGGCATCTTTTTATATTGTCAACTCCTTGGAGCAGGGGCTTTGCCTTCCCCACATTCAGTTCAGCGCTGAAGCACATCATATATATTCAATAAATATAATCACCACTTTTATTTAGAGCTTTGAGATCTGAATATCAGACAACATGGAAGCTGCACACAACCATTCTAATGTATTTAATGCATAAGTATTTACTCTTTATACTCACAACAAGGATTTCTTAGGCAAAGAGCTAATGTAACAAGCCTTAGCCCTTAAGAGCAAGAGAGACAATGGAGCCTAGGGGCTGATGATAAACATCTTAGCTCTTTCTTGCATCAGACGTTTCAATGCTCAACTTTTATAGTGAGTTTTACAAAATATTGAGTCTGGAAATTTCTATAAAGGTTCTGGACAGAGCTGGGAAAAGGCTGTATAAACACCTAACTCAAGCAAAGGGCACAGTGATGATATTGATAATGACAGAGGAAGGTATTGAGAATGGCAAAGATTCCTTTTGGCCAGCACTGCACCATACACAATCCTCGTTTCAGTAAATACTGAAAATGGCATTTTGTACCACTTGTCCAGAATAGACCCTAGATGCCTGAATATTTCTCTCTCTCTCATAACAGAAATATGAGGGAATGCATCTGGCTAAGAATAAGATAATCACTGTTTAATATACAGAATCATCTAGCCTAAAATAGTAAAATAATTTAATCTGGAGATTAACCTGAAAAATTTCTGGTTCTAAACCAATCCAGACACAGAATCTGTTATTTGATGTGTGTTTAATGGCCTATATAAAACGCATTGGTAGTCCAGTTCCTTCCTCGTGGGCAAGGAGAGACATGGACAAAACCTGATAGCACACATGGCACTGCCACTAACTGGCAACTCTGGGCAGAGAAAGTCAGGAACGAACGGGCACGAACATCTAACCAACTGCTCTCCTCACTGTGCCAGTGTTCTTACAAGTCAGGAGTGAGGAACTTTGGAAGGAGCCAGGAGGGGAAGTTTCTATGTAATTATTCTGTGAATAGCTAGGGAACTTTTTTCCAAGTTTATTAAACCAGCACCTTTCATGAGCATAAAAATCACACGCTACAGGGGAAAAGGAAATTCAGAATGTTTTACAGACTAGCATGTCAAATGATGCTGATGGAAAGGAGGAGGTTCCTAAACTGACTTCTGAAAGGGTTTCTTTAAGGGGAACTTGCAAGTGTGTACACAAGTGAGTTTTTCACTCAAGGTTGTTTGCAATACAAGAACAAGCACAGACACTCACACATTTGTATTTACAACATATTCCTGAGGGTAAAAAACACGTATTCAGGAGGAAAAATGAAATGTTGAAGAGACCATTGTACGGGGCAGATTATGATCATTAGGTAGCAGGAATACTCAGGTTTATAAATGCTAGACCCAGATGAGTATTATCCAAGGAGTCTAGTGACAAGGAAAATTGGAAATCCATTGCACGGATTTCATAAATGTCATGGAGGATAAGAATACCAGACAACTAGAGAACAGTGCACTTGTGCCCTCAGCCTATCAGTTTTCCCATCTTTTTAAGAAGTGAGTGTTATCAGGGTGTATGTGGTTTTAGCTGGCTGCTATTGTTAGTCTTGATGGCTTTACTAGGTAAGGAAGGCTTTATTATTTTAATGCGTTTGTTTTGTAAGTGTTTTACTGTACATTCACTTAGAGCAAATGTTTGGGTGCTTTAAAGTGTCATAAATAATTTAATAAGTGTAGCAATCATTTAAGAAAGAAAATAGGTTAACCCAGCAAGCATCTACAAACCTGGACGTCTAATTTCAGCTCTGGGTGAAAGGAAAAAGGAAAACCAAGTGTTGCATCAGAGGTACGACTTGCATGAGATGAAGAGCAGATGTATTTGTTCTGAGCTCTGGTCTTGTTTTTTTGGTAAGTTTCTTAGCTTCTTGTTCCTGGCCTTGTTAGGAACAAATTGTCAGCAGGTCAAAATCTAAAATTATTCCACCAAACAACTTGTTCTTTACTCCTAAGGCCTCTACCTCATATCCTGCTATCTCTAGAAAATCTGTTGACTGAGAACTTGAACATCAAGACATAAAAGTGCACTGACTTGAAGCCTTGCTGCACTTCAGCAGAGACTGGATAATGTAACAAAATAGTTGTATCATATTGAACTAATTTCTAATTAACTTCAGGATGCTGATGCAGCAAAATTGAAATGTGCCTCCTACTGACAAACTACATGTGTTCAGATAGGAAGATTTACTTAATAACCAACCCACTTGGTCATTTGCCACTGCCAATTCAGCTGAATTTTGGATGGAATTTAGTGGAGACATGCACTTAGAAAAGCAAAATTATTGGAAGTTAAATACAAGAAATACAGGAAAATCCACAGGGCAGATTTCCCAAGGCTATTCTCTGTACTATACCTACGCCTAAAACTGGATGGACCAAGGTCAAGGAAGTCTGAGGACTCCAGGCAGTGCCCAAAAATAACTGTCAACCTTTTCAACCATCTTTCAAAAAAGGTCTGAAACAATACAATAATTGACAAGATTCTCCACATCAAGTCATGGCTTCCTGAGCAAATGTTTCCTCTTTAAAAGAAGCTGCCACCCTCTGCCCTCCTGAAAAAAGGCATTTATAATCTACACTAGGAGCAAAAGGAGAGTTTATTCTCCTTGTGCAGTAACTAGAGTTCTTCGAGGTGCATGTCCCTATGGGTGCTCCACTTCAGGTGTGCTTACATTCCATGTGCCTTTGACTGAAGATTTTTGGTAGTAGTGTCCTTTCAGCCCACGCATGCGCCCTACGCATCCTCATACCCCACATGAGGACACCACAGTGTTGCACAAGTTAACCGCCCTCAATTCCTGCTCCACGGCAAAGTCCCACAGAGGAAACTCTGAAGCAGGAGGAGGAGGAGGGCGGGTAGTGGAGCACCTGTAGGGGGACACATCCCAAAGAACTCCATTTACTGCACAAGGTGAGTAATCTCTCTTTTTTCGAATATTGCCCCATGAGTGCTCCTCTTCAGATGACTTCTAAGCTGCTGAAACTAGGCTGCAGTTGGCTATATACAATTGCATAGGCTCATCGCTTCGGCACAAAGAGAAGGGGATCTCATGTCTCCTCTTGTTGAACCAGAACATGCAGGCTAGATTGTCTGTCATAATTTTGTGTGTGTGCGCCCGACGGCAGGAAGAAGATACTGGCATTCCTAATTGCCCTCATCTCTAGGAGACTGATATGTAACCATATTTCTTGGACAGACCATTTGCCCTGAATGGTGTGAATCCCTAAATGTGCCACCCAACGCAAGAGGCATCTGTCATTATGGATGAATGGAACACCTGCACAGACATTGTTTGACTCTTTCCACCCATTCTATCCAAGAATTGGAAGTCTTGGCACAGTCAAGGAACTATGATGTGATTGGAATAACAGAGACTTGGTGGGATAACTCACATGACTCCAGCACTGTCATGGATGGATATAAACTGTTCAGGAAGGACGGGCACGGGAGAAAAGGTGGAGGAGTTGCACTGTATGTAAGAGAGCGGTATGATTGCTCAGAGCTCCAGTATGAAACTGGAGAAAAGCCTGTTGAGAGTCTCTGGGTTAAGTTTAGAGGCAAGAGCAACAAGGGTGATATATTGGTGGGCATCTGCTATAGACCGCCAGACCAGGAGGATGAGGTAGACAAGACTTTCTTTGGACAACTAACTGAAGTCTCCAGATCTCAGGCCCTGTTTCTCATGGGGGACTTCAATCACCCTGAGATCTGGTGGGAGAGCAATACAGCAGTGCACAGACAATCCAGGAAGTTTTTGGAAAGTGTTGGGGACAACTTCCTGGTGCAAGTGCTGGAGGAACCACCAACTATATGCTCCTCTTGACCTGCTACTCACAAACAGGGAAGTAGAAGCGAGTGGCAACCTTGGCAGCAGTGACCATGAGATGGTCGAGTTCAGGATCCTGACAGAAGGAAGGAAGGAGAGCAGCAGAATACGGACCTGGGACTTCAGAAAAGCAGACTTTGACTCCCTCAGGGAACTGATGGGCAGGATCCCCTGGGAGCCTAATATGAGGGGGAAAGGAGTCCAGGAGAGCTGGCTGTATTTTAAAGAAGCCTTATTGAGGGTGCTGGAACAAACCATCCCAATGTGCAGAAAGAACAGCAAACATGGCAGGCGAATAGCTTGGCTTAATAGGGAAATCTTCTGTGAGCTTAAACACAAAAAGGAATCTTACAAGTGGAAACTTGGACAGATGACTAGGGAGGAGTATAAAAATATTGCTCGCGTATGCAGAGGTGTAATCTGGAAGGCCAAACCACAATTGGAGTTGCAGCTAGCAAGGTATGTGATGGGTAACAAGAAGGATTTCTTCAGGTATGTTGGCAACAAGAAGGTCAGGGAAAGCGTGGGACCCTTACTGAATGTGGGAGGCAACTTAGTGACAGATGATGTGGAAAAAGCTGAAGTACTCAATGCTTTTTTTGCCTTTGTCTTCACAGA